GGCTCGAGCTGGTTTTACATTGTGTTATTGGAATGGAACCCCTAGATACTGAACCCGGCCCTTGTTGTTGCCAACTCTGATGGGCAGAAGGGTTACACCTGTATAACCTCGACATGCCACAATCTACATAGGACAGAACTACAGTCACTGAAAACCAAAGTTGCACCCAACACTTCCAAAGTATTGTTCTCCCGGATTAGAGGAGAAATGCAACATAAAAACTACAAAAGAATGTTACTCTGTGACACCTCCCCAGAGCTGAAGGACAAGTATGCAACACCCAGCATCAAGACCACCACAGCAGTAATAGGGAGTGGCAGCTCCTCTACTCCATCCAACAAGCTCAACACAGATGTTAATTCTAATGCCTACTATGCACACAGATTTTTGTACCCATAAAACTAATCTGTCATGGGTGTGATTTTTTTGGCTTTTTGTTGTTTTTTTACTGACAGTCATACTGATATAAAGGTGTCTTATGGCAGCATAGTTATACCCTCTCCATACAGAAATAAGCAATACTGGTATAAGACACCTTTAAATATCAGTGTAACTGCATCCAGACTAGGAGTGTTCTCTCACTTTAACTGTGCCACGTTCACTATACTGGTATAACTTTTGTGTTTAAACAAATCCTTAGTACAGTTTGTTTTTTTATGACAGCGACTGAGTTAAACCCTCCTCCCAGCTGTTTCCTTTTGATGAGAAATTGGGCGGTGACTTGTGTGATGACCTTCTACACTTTGCAGCGGAAATAAAATCTTACCAGAAAAACACTTTTCCCTTTAAGTGATTTAAGCAAACACTGCGCCCTCTGCTGGAAGAATCCGCTATGGACCATTAAAACAGCAAGAGCTGGGTAGAGAATCAGGACCTTGTTCTTGGATGTGTTACCTATAAGCTCCTTTGGCATACCTGATGCGTGAGGGTAAAGATACTAGCGCAGCACTGTAAAGCAGCTAGTGGTTTGCTTATACAGCCTCACTCCGTCAGTGTGCATCACTTCTACAGGTCCCACTACAGGAAGATCAGAGATGTGCTAGCCCAACTTTACTACAGACCAGAGGTTCTCAAACTGGGGTGGGGTGGAATGGATAGGGGGACCTCTCTGCACACATTTTACCCACAGCAATGAACTAGCAAAGCTCATTCCTCCAGACACATCGGGCCCTCAGATGATGCTGTGCCTTTGACTCTAGAAGGTGCTGAGCGTTTTGATGGATTTCTGCATAGTATTATACAAAGTCGCCGCCATCTGTACGTTAATCCATTTGCTATGACAGGGTGCGCACATTTAATTGTGAGCACCAACCACAATTGCAGTTTTGCTCTTAGAAGCCGAAACAGATTCAAGCGAAGCACCGCTGCCACATACATATCAGGCTAAGCACTTGTGGGGCGGGAAGGAAAGGAGGCTATAGACTATACAGTGCACATGGCTTACTCAGACTTGTCAGACCTCCAAAAAAGCCACGTTCACCCTAGTGAGGGAAACTGTGCTAGACACTTTTATGATGAACAACTCTTTGTACTGATTTCTTTCTATTAGTAATAGAACTGCATATCTGTCTGGCTCAGAGGAGAAATCTGATGCTCTTTCCATCTGAGAAACAGTGCAATAAAACAAACATCACTGATGTATATGAATATTCAGTTCAGACCTTTACTACACTGGGCTGTTTACCCTGGTTGCAGCCATTGGTGTCCAGCCACTCGTGTAGCTGTACTGATGCAAACTCCAGGTGAAAACAAGGAAAACTGTACAAAATTATGGTTTGCATCAGTGCAGATAGGCTGGTTTCAAGCCAGGGTTAAGCTGCAATGGGGCCAAATTGTGGCTTTGTCTACACTAGGGGGCTTGCACCAGTGGCTGCCATCCCCACCCCACCCCACCGCAGCTGAAAATCCTCAGTATAGATAAGGCCCAAGAGGTGGAGAAGGAGATGGAGGGTGAGTTTAAGCAAATATGTGATCGTGCAGTAAACTGATCAAACTATTTTCCAAGTTAGAACAAAATTACATAGAATTCAACAGATAACCGAGCCAGAAAGTTCTGTGCTTTCTTCCCCTCCATGGGTTGCAGAGATACATAACTGCAGGAGTTAAGCCAACATGGTTTGCAGCGTCATCAGAACTCAGAAGTATTTACAGCTTTTGCTGCTTTCCCAGCATTTCAGATCACAGATTTTTATTTCCAGTCCCATAGGAAGCGTCCCCCACCCTTCACCCTGTTTATTTTAGGGAGATTTGACTTAGAGTTACAGAAGAAAAAGCTTTACAGACCGGATTTGTGGGTTTTATGAAGAGCTTATTGTTTGGTGTTGTGATGAGCAGGCGACTGCCAATTACAGCCTGCACACCACAGACCTTAGCCCCAAGCCGGTAATCAGATCCGTGTGGTGGACTCTTGAACCTGGGGCCAAAACCCAATGACTTCTGTGGCTTCCTCATGGGTGTAAGGGTCTGTCTGTGTGTTCTGGTTGCAAGATCAAGGCCCTAATAGCATAAGAAAAGTGATCCAGTTTCCTTACACAAAAGAGTTACACTTATTTAGTTGTTAATTCCATACCAGGCAGACTCAGTTACTCTAGGTGTAATCAGAAGACATATGCCTTCCTTTTGTCATCAAAGTGACAGCAAACAAGAGACCCCCGACCCTGTTCTATAATCCTGCCTCTGGATCTGTACACTGTCCCACTCTGACCTCCCTTACGCCTTCCCCTACTCCCAGCCTCCACCAGTCAAACTTCTGGCTAATGTCACCTATTAGCTTCATTGTTCCACTTCCCACCCCACCCTGTCTGTATGCCCTCTCTTCCACTGCCTTTTATCTGGAAATACTAGACAAAATAGCCATAGTAAGAGAGGGTATTAACCCTCCCTTTTCTAGTGATTACTACATTGGAACACTACGAAATTAGGCTGAATTTATAGAAGTCAATTTTTTAGGAAGCGATTTTATACAGTAGACCGTGTGTCCCCCCACACTAATACACTAAGCACATTAAGTCGGCGGAGTGCATCCCCAGTACCGAGGCTAGCGTCTATTTTCGGAGCGTTGCGCTGTGGGTAGCTATCCCACAGTTCCCGCAGTCTCCGCCACCCATTGGAATTCTGGGTTAAGCTCCCAATGCCTGATGGTGGTTTTGGGTACATGTTGTCAGTTGCCCCTCCCTCCACGAAAGCAACAGCAGACAATCGTTTCACGCCTTTTTTCCATGCGGGTGCCATACTGCTTTCAGCAGACGGTGCAGTAGGACTGCTAACCGTCATCTACCGCTTCTGCTGCAACTCTGCTCTCCTGATGCTATGAATACACCTTGCAGGACCTCTATAATATGATCGTTGTCATCCACCGCTTCTTCTGGCACTCTGCTCTCCTGCTGGTCTTGCAGGGCTGCTTCTGCTGCAATTCTGCTCGGCTGCTCTTGTCTCGCCATACCACGGCAAGCATGCAGCCCGCTCAGCTGTTGTGTCCTGGCAGCAGATGGTGCAGTAGGTCTGCAAAACTGATCATCCAACCACCGCTTCCCCTGCAACCCTGTCCCCCTGCCGATGCCATACCACGGCAAGCATGGAGCCCGCTCAGGTCACCGAGGCAGTTATAAGCATTGGAAACACCTCACGCAATATCATGCGGAATATGCAGAACCTGCAAAAGCAGGTGAGGAGGCGATGGCAGCGCAGTGACGAGAGTGATGAGGACATGGACACAGACTTCTCTCAAAGCACAGGCCCTGGCCATCCTGGTGGCAATGGGGCAGATTCATGCCATGGAACGCCGATTCTGGGCCCGGGAAACAAGCACAGACTGGTGGGACCGCACAGTATTGCGGGTCTGGGATGATTCCCAGTGGCTGCAAAACATTCACATGCGTAAGGGCACTTTCATGGATCTTGGGACTTGCTTTCCCCTGCCCTGAAGAGCAAGAATACCAAGATGAGAGCAGCCCTCACGGTTCACAAGCAAGTGGCGATAGCCCTCTTGAAGCTTGCAACACCAGACAGCTACCAGTCAGTCGGGAATCAATTTGGAGTGCGCAAATCTACTGTGGGGGCTGCTGTGATCCAAGTAGCCAACGCAATCACTGAGCTGCTGCTATCAAGCGTAGTGACTCTGGGAAATGTGCAGATCATAGCAGATGGCTTTGCTGTAATGGGATTCCCTAACTGTGGTGGGGCAATAGACGGAACGCATATCCCTGTCTTGGGACCAGAGCACCAAGGCAGCCAGTACGTAAACCGCAAGGAGTACTTTTCAATGGTGCTGCAAGCACTGGTGGATCACAAAGGACGTTTCACCAACATCAACGTGGGATGGCCGGGAACGGCACACGATGCTCACATCTTCAGGAACTCTGGTCTGTATGAACAGCTGTAGCAAGGGACTTACCTTCCAGACCAGAAAATAACTGTTGGGGATGTTGAAATGCCTATAGTTATCCTTGGGGACCCAGCCTCCCCCTTCATGCCATTGCTCATGAAGCCATACACAGGAACCCCGGACAGTAGTCAGGAGCTGTTCAACTACAGGCTGAGCAAGTGCAGAATGGTGGTAGAATGTGCATTTGGACATTTAAAAGCTCGCTGGTGCAGTTCACTGACTCAGACCTCAGCAAAACCAATATTCCCATTGTTATTACTGCTTGCTGTGCGCTCCACAACATCTGAGAGAGTAAGGGGGAAGACGTTTATGGTGGGGTGGGAAATTGAGGCAAACTGCCCGGCCACTGATTACATGCAGCAAGACACCAGGGCGGTTAGAAGAGCACAGCAGGACACGCTGCGCATCAGAGAAGCTTTGAAAACCAGTTTCATGGCTGACCAGGCTACGGTGTGACAGTTCTGTTTGTTTCTCCTTGATGAAAACCCGCCCTCTTGGTTCACTCTACTTCCCTGTAAGCCAACTGCCCTCCCCTCCCCACTTTGATCACCGCTTGCAGAGGCAATAAAGTCATTGTTGTTTCAAATTCATGCATTCTTTATTAATTCGTCACACAAATAGGGGGATAACTGCCAAGCGTCTATACACAAATGCAAGAAGCCTCGGAAACAAGCAGGGAGAACTGGAAGTCCTGGCACAGTCAAGGAATTATGATGTGATTGGAATAACAGACTTCGTGGAATAACTCTTATGACTGGAGTACTGTCATGGATGGATATAAATTGTTCAGGAAGGACAGGCAGGGCAGAAAAGGTGGGGGAGTAGCACTGTATGTAAGGGAGCAGCATGACTGCTCAGAGCTCAAGTATGAAACTGCAGAAAAACCTGAGAGTCTCTGGATTAAGTTTAGAAGTGTGAGCAACAAGGGTGATGTCGTGGTGGGAGTCTGCTATAGACCACCGGACCAGGGGGATGGAGGTGGATGAGGCTTTCTTCCGGCAACTCATGGAAGTTACTAGATCGCAGGCCCTGGCTCTCATGGGAGACTTCAAAATCACCCTGATATCTGCTGGGAGAGCAATACAGTGGTGCACAGACAATCCAGAAAGTTTTTGGAAAGGGTAGGGGACAATTTCCTGGTGCAAGTGCTGGAGGAACCAACTAGGGACAGAGCTCTTCTTGACCTGCTGCTCACAAACGTGGAAAGAATTAGTAGGGGAAGCAAAAGTGGACGGGAACCTGGGAGGCAGTGACCATGAGATGGTCAAGTTCAGGATCCTCATACAGGGAAGAAAGGAGAACAGCAGAATACAGACCCTGGACTTCAGAAAAGCAGACTGACTCCCTCAGGGAACTGATGGGCAGGATCCCCTCAGAGAATAACATGAGGGGGAAAGGAGTCCAGGAGAGTTGGCTGTATTTTAAAGAATCTTTATTGAGGTTACAGGGACAAACCATCCTGATATGTAGAAAATAGTAAATATGGCAGGCAACCAGCTTGGCTTAACAGTGAAATCCTTGCTGATCTTAAACACAAAAAAGAAGCTTACAAGAAGTGGAACATTGGACAAATGACCAGGGAAGACTATAAAAATATTGCTCGGGCATGCAGGAGTGAAATCAGGAAGGCCAAATCACACCTGGACTTGCAGCTAGCAAGAGATGTTAAGAGTAACAAGAAGGGTTTCTTCAGGTATGTTAGCAACAAGAAGAAAGTCAAGGAAAGTGTGGGCCCCTTACTGAATGAGGGAGGCAACCTAGTGACAGAGGATGTGGAAAAAGCTAATGTACTCAATGCTTTTTTTGCCTCTGTTTTCACAAACAAGGTCAGCTCCCAGACTGCTGCACGGGGCAGCACAGCATGGGGCGGAGGTGACTAGCCCTCTGTGGAGAAAGAAGTGGTTCGGGACTATTCAGAAAAGCTGGACGAGCACAAGTCCGTGGGGCCAGATGCACTGCATCCGAGAGTGCTAAAGGAATTGGTGGATGCGATTGCAGCCATTGGCCATTATCTTTGAAAACTCATGGCAATCGGGGGAAGTCCCAGACGACTGGAAAAAGGCTAATGTAGTGCCCATCTTTAAAAAATGGAAGGAGGATCCTGGGAACTACAGGCCAGTCAGCCTCACTTCAGTCCCTGGAAAAATCATGGAGCAGGTCCTCAAGGAATCAATTCTGAAGCGCTAAAGGAGAGGAAAGTGATCAGGAACAGTCAGCATGGATTCACCAAGGCCAAGTCATGCCTCACTAATCTAACTGCTTTCTGTGATGAGATAACTGGCTTTGTGGATGAGGGGAAAGCAGTGGACATGTTGTTCCTTGACTTTAGCAAAGCTTTTGACACTGTCTCCCACAGTATTCTTGCCAGCAAGTTAAAGAAGTATGGGCTGGATGAATGGACTATAAGGTGGATAGAAAGCTGGCTAGATTGTCAGTCTCAACAGGTAGTGTTCAGTGGCTCCATGTCTAGTTGGCAGCCAGTATCAAGTGGAGTGCCCCCAACGGTCGGTCCTGGGGCCGGTTTTGTTCAATATCTTCATAAGTGATCTGGAGGATGGTGTGGATTGCACTCTCAGCAAGTTTGCAGATGACACTAAACTGGGAGGAGAGGTAGATACTCTGGAAGGTAGGGATAGCATACAGAGGGCCCTAGACAAATTGGAGGACTGGGCCAAAAGAAATCTGATGAGGTTCAACAAGGACAAGTGCAGAGTCCTGCACTTAGGACGGAAGAATCCCATGCACCACTACAGACTAGGGACCGAATGGCTAGGCAGCAGTTCTGCAGAAAAGGACCTAGGGGTTACAGTGGACGAGAAGCTGGATAGGAGTCAGTGTGCCCTTGTTGCCAAGAAGGCCAATGGCATTTTGGGATGTATAAGTAGGGGCATTGCCAGCTGATCGAGGGACGTGATCGTTCCCCCTCTATTGGGCACTGGTGAGGCCTCATCTGGAGTACTGTGTCCAGTTTTGGGCCCCACACTACAAGAAGGATGTGGAAAAATTGGAAAGAGTCCAGCGGAAGGCAACAAAAATGATTAGGGGACTGGAACACATGAGTTATGAGGAGAGGCTGAGGGAACTGGGATTGTTTAGTCTGCAGAAGAGAAGAATGAGGGGGGATTTGATAGCTGCTTTCAACTACCTGAAAGGGTGTTCCAAAGAGGATGGATCTAGATTGTTCTCAGTGGTAACAGATGAGAGAACGAGGAGTAATGGTCTCAAGTTGCAGTGGGGGAGGTTTAGGTTGGCTATTAGGAAAAACTTTTTCACTAGGAAGATGGTGAAACACTGGAATGCGTTACCTAGGGAGATGGTGGAATCTCCTTCCTTGGAGATTTTTAAGGTCAGGCTTGACAAAGCCCTGGCTGGGATGATTTAGTTGGGGATTGGTCCTGCTTTGAGCAGGGGGTTGGATTAGATGACCTCCTGAGGTCCCTTCCAACCCTTTTGATATTCTATGATTCTATAAGGTAGCCTGGGAGGGGTGGGGGAGGAAGGAAGCACTGGGTGGGGTGGTGGATGAGGGGAGGAGGGAAGGACAAGGCCACACTGCACTTCAAAATGTATTGAATGCTAGCCTTCTGTTGCTTGGGCAGTCCTCTGGGGTGGAGTGGTTGGATGCCTGGAGGCCTCCCCCACCAATGTTCTTGGGCATCTGGGTGAGGAGGCTATGGAACTTGGGGAGGAGGGCGGTTGGTTACACAGGGGCTGCAGTGGCGGTCTGTGCCTTTCCTGCACCTCAACCATACGCCGGAGCATATCAGTTTGATCCTCCAGTAGCCTCAGCATCGCATCCTGCCTCCTTTCATCATGCTGCCACCACCTTTCCTCTTGATCCCACCACCTCTCCTGTTGCTCCAGCCATCTGTCCTCACTTTCATTTTGTGCTTTCCTGGACTCTGCCATTGTCTGCCTCCACGCATTCTGCTGGGTTCTTTCAGTTTGGGTGGACTGCATGAACTCAGAACATTTCATTGCAAGTGCATTTTTGTCGCTTTCTTATCTGCGCTAACCTCTGGGACGAAGATGCTAGTGGCAGCGTTGAAACATTTGCAGCTGCGGGAGGAAAAAAGGGAGATTAACATTGAAAAAGACACATTGGCCATTTAAAAGGAGAAGCTGATGTTTTTGGGTTAATGTGCAGCACAAACCCAACTAACCCCCCCCCCCCACACACACACACACCACCCAATTATCTGAGATGATTGCTTCACCCCTCCCCGCACCGCGTGGCTAACAGCGGGGATGATTTCTTTTCAGCCACAGGCAAACAGCCCAGCAGGAACGGCCACCTCTGATGTTCCCTTAATAAAATTCCCCTATTTCAACCAGGTGACCATGAATGATATCACTCTCCTGAGGATAACACAGAGAGAGAAAGAACGGATGTTGCTTGAATGCCAGCAAACACCGGGACCACATGCTGCCATGCTTTCTTATGCAATGATTCCAGACTACGTGCTACTGGCCTGCTGTGCCAAGTGTCCTACCATGGAGGATGCAATAAGGCTGCCCTCCCCAGAAACCTTTTGCAAAGGCTTTGGGAGTACCTCCAGGACAGCTTCATTAAGATGTCCCTGGAGGATTTCCGCCCCATCCCCAGACATGTTAACAGACTTCTCCAGTAGCTGTACTGGCCACAAATGCATCCCAAGTCTTCAGGGCAAATCAATCATTCAACACACTTGCTTTTAAACCATGTATTATATTTACAAAGGTACACTCACCAGAGGTGCCTTCTCTCCCTTCAAGGTCTGGGAGCCCGGGTTGGGAAGGTATTGGCTCCAGGGTGATAAACAGTTCCTGGCTGTCGGGAAGAACGGTTTCTCTGCTTGCCTGGTGTGCGCGATCTTCCTCATCCCCAAAATCCTCATCCCTGTTGCGTGAGACTCCCTTGCGGGAGTCCACATACAGGTGTGGGGTAGTTGTAGGGGCACCCCCTAGAATTGCATGCAGCTCATCATAGAGGCGGCATGTCTGGGGCTCTGACCCTGAGCGGGCTTTTGCCTCTTGGGTTTTTTGGTAGGCTTGCCTGAGCTTCTTAAGTTTCACGCGGCACTGCTGCAGCTCCCTGTGATAGCCTCGGTCCTTCATGCCCTTGGAGATTTTTACAAATATTTTGGCATTTTGTCTTTTGGAACGGAGTTCTGATAGCATGGATTTGTCTCCCCATACAGTGATCCGATCCAGTACCTCCCGTTTGGTCCATGCTGGGGCTCTCTTGGGATTCTGGGACTCCACGGTCATCTCTCTGATGAGCTGCGTGTGGTCACGCCACGGTGGCAGAACAGGAAATGAAATTCAAAAGTTTGCGGGGCTTTTCCTATGTACCTGGCCAGTGCATCCGAGTTGCGAGTGCTGTCCAGAGCAGTCACAATGGAGCACTGTGGGATTGCTCCCGGAAGCCAATACCATTGAATTGCGTCCACACAAACCCAAATTCGACCTGGCGATGTCAATTTCAGCACTAATCCCCACATCGGGGAGGAATACAGAAATTGATTTTCAGAGCCCATTAAGTCAACAAAAATGGCTCTGTTGTGTGGACGGCTGCTGGGTTAAATTGATCTAACGCTGCTAAATTCAACCTAAACTCCTAGTGTAGACCAGGGCTAAGTTATTATTTATTCAAACAAGTGTAATGCCAAGCTTTAAAAAGCATCGGCCAGAGTGACAGTCCCTCGCCTTCAATGTTTGCAGCAGGTTTAACAATATAAACAAAGCAGAAAGGGTAGCTTTGATTTTTGGTCAGAAAGTGATTTGTAAAGCACTGACAGGGTATTCAGAAAGGAGAAGTCTGGACAGACTTTTCAGTGCTTTGTCCCACCTTTGGTCTAGCACCAGTGCAAATGCGAGGGGCAGGTCCCCACACAGTTTTTGTGCCAGTATCACTATTTTGGTTATAAATGTCACACCTCTCACAAACTAGCCTGAGACTGCACCCCATCACACCCTGGACCGACAAAGTTATGCAGGCAGAAGCGTGTAGTGTAGACCTGGCCGGTGGTAGGGTTGAGGTACAACATGTTTAGATGAACCCTTGACAAGGTGCAGGTGTCATTACCACCATGTTGCTAATGCTGAGTGGGGTCAGGCACTGTGGTGAAGATGCCTGTGCCCTGTCTCCACTAGCACTTCCCCAGGTTACTGGTGCCAGTCCAACACCGGAAAGCATGCTAGCAAAGTGCCAGTGTAAACAAGATTTAAGATGCAGACACAGATAAGACAAGATCCTCCAGGAAAGCCAGAGGAATGAACAAGGTCAGAGGGGTTGTTTGTTTTTCTGATCTTGCGCCTCTATTCCAGGATAAGGTAGTGCGGGGGGACTGTGGCCTCGGTGTATCTGTGGCAGAACCAGGAATTAAACCCAGATCTCCCAAACCCCATACTTAATCATAAGACCCATCCTTTCCTACATTGGAAAGAGCTACACAAAAGTCTTGATCATTTATTATTTGTATTACTGTAGAGTCTAAGAGCCTCAGTCCTGGATCTTGACCAACGTGCTCAGTATGTGTATTTTGGGGAGAGGATGCTTTGCTAGCATCTTGGCCCAACTACCCATTGCACAGCTACACTACACGACACTTACTACATAGCCATGGTGGACGATGCAATTTCTATTATGGTATTTGTGGGCTATGAACATGGTAGTTATGGTTGCTCACTGCCCCGCCTATTGTAAGCCTGTTCTCACACACTCCTTTGTGATTTCTGTCAGTCCAAGAGCGAATGCTGTTTTGGACAGCCTGATTAAAGGCCATTCAGCCCTTTGAGTGAAGTGCAGCAAAAAATGCAGCCCAGTTTAAAAGCAATGCAGGTTGGATTTGTATATGAACAAGAAGTAGATTAACTTTAATGCAGACTAATGGGACTAATTCTCATTTACGGCATGATGAAGCATGGGCCAGGCAGTGTTTTGCATGTGAATTATCTAGGCTATACAATGCCATGGATACCCAGCGTCCTGCTTTTTCCCCCTCTTGTCACAACATACGTCTCACGTACAAGTATCCTGGTTCTTAGGGTAGGATGTGCCCGTACTACCAGTGTATAAGGGCCTGTCTGCACTGGCAATTTACAGTGCTGCAACTTTCTTAGAATCATAGAATATCTGGGTTGGAAGGGACCTCAGGAGGTCATCTAGTCCAACCCCCTGCTCAAAGCAGGACCAATCCCCAATCTGCCCAAAGCAGATCCCTAAATGGCCCCCTCAAGGATTGAACTCAACCCTGGGTTTAGCAGGCCAATGCTCAAACCACTGAGCTATCCATCTTGCTCGAGGGTGTGAAAAAAATACACACCTGAGCGCAGGTTTCAGCGCCGAGGAGGTGGTTTTTGTAGAGCCACGTTAAAGCATTGCCAGCGTAGACTAGCCCTAAAACTAGCATGCTTACGTTAGCTATTTGGAGGTTGCCTCCACAGTTCTGGACTATACCGACAGGATTTTTGGGCAGATGCAGAGACTCATTCTTGACTACGTTGAAGTAACTTAATGGGTAATGCGTTAGCCCGGTGGATGCAAATATTTGCAGTAGCAAAGTTTTCGAATTAGTTACCAAGTACATGACAGCAGCAGTGCAACAGGTAAAAACTTGAGCAGCTAAAACAAATGCTAAAGTAGCTCCAAGCATCTTATGGTCAATGTGAGAACCGGGTAAATGAAGGTAAACGCTATCAAGAGAGGGCAGCCAGATTTATGCTGAAAAGTTAAGCCAACCCATCTACATTGCTCAGGGGATGAAAAATCCCTACTCCTGCATGATGTAGTTAATCTGGCCTAACCTCCAGTGTACACAGTGCTAGATCGACGGAAGAATTATTCTGTAGACCCTGCAGTGGTTCTCAAACTTTTGTACTGGTGACCCCTTTCACATAGCAAGCCTCTGAGTGTGACCCCCCATCTAACTTAAACACACTTTTTTATATATTTAACACCATTATAAATGCTGGAGGCAAAGCGGGGTTTGGGGTGGAGGCTGACAGCTCGTGACCCCCCCCCCCCATGTAATAACCTCACAACCCCCTGAGGGATCCTGACCCCCAGTTTGAGAACCCCTGTACTACAGTGACAAGAGAACCCTCCCATCGTTGTAGCGAATGGCTACACAGATTAGCACTACAGTTGTGCCACTGTAGCATTTCAAACAAACTAGTCCACTGTTACTCGGGGAGGTGGTGTCCCTCAGGTGATGGAAGAAACCTTCCGTCTATACTATGGGATAATACCAGTATAGACATACCCTATGACAACTAGTGCTAATTTAGAGCCCTTAGAAAAAGGGGCTGTTAAACAGTAAGCTAGTCTCACTCTAGACATGCATGGCCAGTACATATAGGGACAATTTTGTATCTCAAAGGAGCTTAGCGTGAATGTATATCACTTGACAGACGCAGGAATTGACTGTTCTCTTCTGCTTGCTCCACAGACTCAGGAACAAACACTAAATTCTCGGACCACAGAGCAGCAGTTTCATTGCTCAGTTGCAGAGAAACGCATGTAGAAAAGGAGGTCAAAAGGATGTACTTGCTTTACACCAATCCTTGCACTGGATTCTGTCAGATTTATGCACATATCAAATTGTAAACATAGGAGGTAAACAAAATCAGAATGTATCGTGGTGTCTATTTGATGCCAAATGTAGGTCCGTTTCAGTTACTGCCTATACATACTCTGCTGAAACAGTGAAATCAAAATGGTCTTGTTTTGCTGCCAGCAGTCACAACTTACACACCATCTAGTAAAGTATTTTGCTGTTAGAGAAGATCAGTTTCTCTGGTTGTCTCTTCAGCAGTTTTCACTAGTCTCAAAATATTAAAAAACTGAAAGGAGAACTGATGCTTTAAGACATGTCCTCATTCAGATGGTGGCTGTTTAAAAAACACCTCTGCATCATCAAAGAGCCAGATGTACCCCACAAAAGCCTAGCTCAGCACAGAACATGCCGCAGTGCAATCCCCTTTACAACTTGCAGCTGCTGTATTTTCTAGCTCTCCAGCCTTTAGTGGTTATATTTGTGAAGCAGCAGTAAAAGTTAACAGGCAATGGAATGAGACACTCAATCATTAGCTCCTACCGCATGTTTCACATTACTGTTAGAATGTGCTGTTATCACAAGCAGATGGGTGGAGATGCTGCTCTGAAGGTAGGAATGTTTCCTTCCCCTTTCCCAGAAGTGTTGAACACTGCACTGTGCGACAGAGACAGTCACTCTCCCAGTGGAGGCCCATGTCTAATTCTGTTGAGCTCTATACAGAGGATCTTCAATCAATTTTAATATGATTATGCAAATCAGAACTGTAAGGAGGTTATTTTTTGTGACTCAAGTGTACACTGGGTGACTAACAGTAATCAAATGAAATCAATACCACCTGGCAGAAGACATGGTAAAAAGTAGCTTTGGCAGTATGAAAGGTAATGCATCTGTAGTGAGCCAAGGCCAGCACTGGAAGCTAAAGGCACTCCCAAATTCTAACACTCTGACAGATTTAAAACCCCTTAAGAACTCCTTCACAGGGGGATTGTCTGTAAAATGAGGCTACTTGTCTAACTCCCAGGGGTGAGAGTGATCAGTCAGTGTTTGAAGTAGCATTGTGAGCAGGATGGACTGATTTAAACAAAGTGGAAAGCCTTGATTTACATCAACTTTTCCATTTGCACTTCAATTATTTTCTAAATAAAGAGGTGTACTCTGACTGGTTGATATAACCTCTGAAATATTTTGATTTACAAACTAAATAAAACCTTTACAGTACGTTTGGTACATCTTTTTGCTACCTAGGAGGGTACACTATAATATACATTTATTTAAGCAATTATCCAGTTTCATATTTTCTGATTTTTATTAATTGTGCATATGTAGTATGTCAGAAAATGGTGACTGATGGGTGGAGTTATAACTATTCCTAAAATGAGAACTGAGCCAATCAGAGCTGAAGTAGGGAGAAGCGCTAAAATGGGAGTATGAGACCCTAACAGGAGACTCAGTGGATGACCCTGATGAGATGTGATGGTGTCTCCTGGAGCCAAAAGCCGGGCTCCAGCAAAATATAGGGCTAAATTAACAGGCATTTTCAGTCTCCGTAGTTTGAACGGTTTCAGAGTAACAGCCGCGTTAGTCTGTATTCGCAAAAAGGAGTACTTGTGGCACCTTAGAGACTAACCAATTTATTTGAGCATAAGCTTTCGTGAGCTACAGCTCACTTCATCGGATGCATACTGTGAAAAGTGTAGAAGATCTTTTTATACACACAAAGCATGAAAAAAATACCTCCCCCCACCCCACTCTCCTTACAATGTGTATGATAATCAAGGTGGGCCATTTCCAGCACAAATCCAGGGTTTAACAAGAACATCGGGGGGGGGGGGGGCTGTCTGTAGGCAAGGACTGGCCTGTCTCCCAAGATTTGTGAGAGTGTTGGGTCATCCTTCAGGATAGGTTGTAGATCCTTAATAATGCGTTGGAGGGGTTTTAGTTGGGGGCTGAAGGTGACGGCTAGTGG